CAGTAGAAAAAAGTAAAATAACGTAATATGTGTTTTTACTATCATTTATGTTAGACATTCTGCTATGGATAATTTTTTTTAGATATTTTATATTTGTGAAACATTCCAATACATATAAAATATTAAAGTGTAATACTATTTTTACCTAGATTAAATTGCAAAGAAAATAATTCGGGCGTAGCCCGGAAAAATCTCTAGTTCAAATAATAAACAAAATAACAGACAGTAAAGGAAAGAGTGAGTTAAAACTTAAAAGCATTGTATTTAATTCTTCGTAAAATATCTGTGCAGGTATTTAAAGAAAAAGAAAAATACTTTTTGCGCAAGCAAAAAACCTCTATTGGTATTCGTTTTGATTTCCGCAGCTATATATAAAAGGCAGACCATCGTGTACACAAACATCACTCCAACATATTATTCATTTCATTCAACCAAATAACAAAACAATCTCCTTTCTCTGAAATGGACACGAAAATCGGATCAATCGACGCGTGCAAGTCGGCGAATGGCGACGTCTGTAGTCCAACAAACGGGACCGTCGCAAGCATCCATGAGTCCGTTCCGGCCTCCTCCTCCTCTGCGATCTCCGTCGGGTCATCAGAAGCGACACTAGGGCGTCACTTGGCCAGACGTCTTGTCCAGGCCGGAGTCACCGATATCTTCTCTGTTCCTGGCGATTTCAACCTAACTCTGCTGGACCACCTCATCGCGGAGCCGGAGCTGAAGAACATCGGATGCTGCAACGAGCTGAACGCCGGATACGCTGCGGACGGTTACGCTCGGTCACGTGGAGTGGGGGCTTGCGTGGTGACGTTCACGGTAGGTGGACTGAGCGTGTTGAACGCGATCGCAGGAGCTTACAGCGAGAATCTGCCGGTGATATGCATAGTGGGAGGTCCTAACTCCAACGATTTTGGGACAAACCGCATCCTCCATCACACCATCGGTTTACCTGATTTCAGCCAAGAGCTTCGCTGCTTCCAGACCGTTACTTGCTACCAGGTGTTATTTAATCCAATCATCAGTAACAAGGATATATTATTAATATGGTTGTCTTCTTAATTATTAAATAGGCGGTGGTGAACAATTTGGAAGATGCTCATGAACAGATCGACAAGGCCATCTCAACAGCTCTGAAAGAAAGCAAGCCTGTTTACATCAGCATCAGCTGCAACTTAGCTGCTACTCCTCACCCTACTTTCGTCCGTGATCCCGTCCCTTTTTCTCTTACTCCTAGGTCTCCATTTCTTCACCTCCTTGATTAATCAACTTTTCAAAATGTTTTAATGTTTTTTTTTTGGTCATATAGATCGAGCAACAAGATGGGCCTGGAAGCTGCGGTTGAAGCAACGTTGGAGTTTCTCAACAAGGCCGTGAAACCCGTCATGGTTGGTGGTGTCAAGTTGCGTGTAGCCAAAGCCAGCGATGCCTTTGTCAAGCTTGCAGACGCTTCTGGCTACGCCATGGCTGTGATGCCATCTGCAAAGGGACTAGTCCCAGAGCACCATCCTCACTTCATTGGGACTTACTGGGGAGCTGTAAGCACTCCTTTCTGCTCTGAGATTGTGGAATCTGCGGATGCCTACATCTTTGCAGGCCCAATCTTCAACGACTACAGCTCTGTGGGTTACTCTCTTCTCCTCAAGAAAGAGAAAGCCATCGTTGTGCATCCTGACCGTGTCACTGTCGCTAATGGTCAAACCTTCGGGTGCGTTCTCATGAGCGAGTTCTTCACCGAATTGGCCAAGAGGGTGAAGCGTAACGAGACGGCTTATGAGAATTACCACAGGATCTTTGTCCCTCAAGGTAAGCCACTGAAATGCAAAGCAAGAGAGCCTTTGAGAGTCAACGCAATGTTCCAACACATTCAGAAGATGCTCTCTAGTGAAACCGCTGTGATTGCTGAAACCGGTGATTCTTGGTTCAACTGCCAGAAACTTAAGCTCCCTAAAGGATGTGGCTACGAGTTTCAGATGCAGTATGGATCCATCGGTTGGTCTGTCGGTGCCACTCTGGGGTACGCACAGGCTGTACCAGAGAAGCGAGTGCTGTCTTTCATCGGAGATGGAAGTTTCCAAGTCACGGCTCAGGACGTATCCACCATGCTGCGCAACGGTCAGAAAACAATCATCTTCCTCATTAACAACGGTGGCTACACCATTGAGGTAGAGATTCATGACGGTCCATACAACGTGATCAAGAACTGGAACTACACTGCCCTCGTCGATGCCTTTCATAACGGTGAAGGCAATTGCTGGACCACAAAGGTTAGATACGAGGAAGAGCTTGTGGAGGCGATCAAGACAGCTACAACGGAGAAGAAGGATTCTTTTTGCTTCATTGAAGTGATTCTTCACAAAGACGACACGAGCAAAGAGTTGCTTGAGTGGGGCTCACGCGTCGCTGCTGCTAACGGCCGTCCTCCAAACCCTCAGTAAGCAAGTAGTAGAGAGAATCTGAAGAAGTGAATCTTTTGAGTGGGGGAGGGACTCACATATAGTTTCTTAATTTGACATTATTGTTTGCCATCATCAGTTCTCTGCTTTATATTCCTGCTGTTTCTTTTCAACTGGTGGTTTTTTATTTGCTTTTGGAACTTTATGTAGTTTCTTCCAGTTAGTACGAATAAATTCCATTCTAATCTCAATAATTGTGTTCTTCTACCATAAAGTCCGAATCAATCCAAACTTTAAAACTATTGATTTGTTTGTTTGTTTTCTTCCTTTTTTCGTTGGAGTTGTCATCATTTTTAATTTTTCTATCTCCCCAATTTTAAATTTTGAAATAAACAGAATCAAAAACTAAAATAACAATCCCATTAAAATTACACGACACTTGACTAGTTTCTATCATTCTAAAAAAAACACAAAAGTATAAAACCAAACAGAAATCTAACCGGTCGATTAGTTTGAAGTCTCAGGTCGAACCAAGAGACGATTGCTTTGGAGTAAATGATCAGGAAATTGAGAAGGACAGGTTCTGATATGGGATTTGAGCTTGGGGATATTAGGGTGTACGCTTCTACACCGATTGCAACGCAACTCACCTTTCAAAACATCTTCACTCTCCACATTGGCCTTGCCTTGGCTCTTGACCTCTTCAAGCACATCCACCGAGTCACGGAAGAAGGAGGTTGTGAAAGAGTTCCAGTGTTTCTTGTTCTTCAAATGATCCGATTCAAAGTCTTGGCTTATAACGTGTAGATGTAGTTGTCGCATTGACGGAACCTGTGTGTGAAAAGAAACACAACTTCAAAATAATTATATCATAAGTTGCAGATATGAAAGTCTAAACTGAATGCAAAAGGATGCAAGTACCGAGTGATAACCAAGACGGAAGATAAGAGATGCATCCTCCTCCTGGAATCTCTTAATCCATTTCATACCAACATTGTGCATTTCCTCAAGTAGTTGAATATGTTCTCTGCGAACGTCTTCAAGCCCATCTACACCCTCCTGCCTAGCCAGTACCAGTACGTGTTTCCGCGCCTAAAATTCAATTATTAAAATATCATGTTTTTTAATCTGCGAAGAAGGATACTTTTATCATGAAAAAACAGCATCATTAACACTTTTTACCTTTGGGTATTGGTCGTTTATCACAACAATGTGGTCTGAAGATTCTAGCACGATATTCTCGTGTCTCTCAGGGTGCATCGCGATGACGTGGAGTGCCAATGCCCATGATCTCCATCCTTTACTCATCTTCTTTCCAATGTCCCCAGATTCCATATTATTAGTACTGGCCTTATCTTGTGTCCCCTTGTACTTTTTGTTTCTCTCGGAATCTTCAGCACCAGAATCTGACATAGTTGCTTGATTGTTTCGTTTAGGCAGCTTTGATTGATCCTCTACTGTCGACAAAAAACCTCCAAATAGAGATGTGTAAGCCTCCCGAAGAATTTTGCAGCCCTTGGTGTAGTCTTTGTTAAGGCAGTTTGGTCGGTTTGGATTCATGTTTGGTCCTAGGACATGTATCACATGTGTAATGCCTTCAGCGTTACGTAACGGGCAAGTAGAAGGAAGAGGAACTACCACGGCTTTTCCAGGTACAAGTGTGTTTGCTCGTGCTCTTGTCCCAGCCTCGAGATCTGGACCACCAGCTTTGAATATCGCTGCGTTCACGCCTCCACCTCCAGGTTTAAGCCTCCTTGCAAACACACAAGTATATTAGTTACCTGGTTAGAAAAGCGTAGAGCAAGAAAATAATGGAAGTGCTTACCAGTTAGCAGCATTAGCTATAACATTGCAGTGCAGACCACCTTGGGAGTGAAGCTTAGTGATGTCTCCAACAAATGTGAAAAACCTTTCTAAGTCAATGTTCTTCCGAGAAGCCTTAGCGTTGACCAAAGACAGAATCTTAGACCCATGGCTCAAGTCCACCAAGGCAAGCCGTGCAGACCCAAGTTTAGGGAGGAATTCCTCTGCTGTCTCGACAATAATGTCAGATGCCTTGTCAAGATCAAACTGGAAATCTGCAGTCGAAATTGAAGGGAATGCCAATGTAGGTACAACAGAACCAAGCTTAGCTGGGGAAACTCGGACATCTTCTATCTTTTCATTAGCTTCGGGAGTTGTAGCAGCTTTTTCATTAGAAGAAGAAGAAGAAGCAGGAAGCGCACTGACTTTCTTAAAAAACTTCATTATACCAGGTTGTTGGCTTTTGGTGTCAGAATGCTTTAGGCCAAAAGAGCCGGAAGGAAGAGTATCCATTGGACCAAGCATGGTGTAGGTTTTAACAGCATTATCAACATCTGCGTCGCTGTAGCAAAACATAATCCGAGAAAACCCTTCATTCAATGTCGGAAGCTCCTTACTCTGAAGCATCTTATTGACAACAGCTGCAGCTCTCCCGCCTTGTAGATTGCCCTCATGACCGGTTCTTTTGACAGATCTAGAAATACAAACCTGAGCAGGAATTTCGAGAACCACTGCGTGGACTTGATCAACATGAGGACCACCACCAAGGAGGTTAATGAAGTCGGAGCGCTGATCCCTGTCAAGATTGCATCTGTCAATAAAGACGCTCTTGCCTTCCTTGAGGGATTCTATAGCCATCTTTAGGCACTGAGCTTTGTTTCCAGCTTTACCTTTGTTAATAATGTCCTGAAGAAATGAGATAAGAGAAATGAAATCTAAACTAAGACTTAAAACTGGTAATAACCCAATCTTCCCAGATATATATATATATATATATATATATATATATATATATGAAAAGAACGAAGACAATCAGCATGCTCTAATTCTAAAGATTTGCTCTTTCAACATAGGCTTGTTAAGTTAGTAAAGATAATTAACACAAAGGTACTTAAGTTTCGTTGAGGAATATCATCAGTCAGGTTGTGGGCAATTGATAGAAAGAGTAAGAGACCTGACAGATGCGAGACCAAGGGCGTTGGGGTGATTTCATTACGGAGTCACAGAAGGTCGATTTGCCGCTTCCTGGCGGACCAATCAGAAGCACCACTATCCCCTTCTTCTTCTTCTTCTCTCCTTCCATTTTAGCCATTTATAGTTCATCAGAATACAATAGAGAACACAGTTTAAACGTGGAGAGCTTTCAATTACCTGAGACTTCTGCTGTTTCCATTTCCATTTTGCTGTCGTCGTTTGTTGATCGGAGAACCCCTCTTTTTCTCCGATTTTACTATTTCAAATTGCAGATGCTGAACCTCTTAGTGCGTGTCGTGTGGCGCGCGTGTGTTTGGAATACGAGCCGTCTTCCCATAATCAAAACGACGTGTTGTTATCCATTATACATAAATAACGCTCTGATGTTCACTTTAATATATATCGAAATGGCAGCATATTAACAAACTGATTATGTAATGCCTGATCTATCTGTATGGGGTTGTGCCACAAGTCATGTCTCAAAGACACTAGAGTGTTAACCTCCTCCCTTCTAGACACCCAAAGGCGTCACGTGTTATCCACGTGTCGCCATAATTGGTCACGTAGAGAACCATACAAATCAATAAACACGGTACGGTAGGAGCGTTTGCAATTAAACACACACACCAACAAAAAAAGGAGAAAAATGTCGAGTGAGGAATTCAGACTGGTGTCGCCGACGATAGACAACGAAGGGAAGCTGCCAAGAAAATATACAAAGGGTGGTCAAGGTGTTAAGAAGAATATCTCTCCTCCTCTTGAATGGTAATTTAACATAATTTGGGTTAACAGCATATATAAATTGCGGCGATATGTAAGACACAAGAGGGATTCAATAAGGTATAAATGTAAATATTGTGTAGGTACAACGTTCCCCAAGGTACCAAGTCGCTGGCCTTGGTGGTTGAGGACATAGATGCTCCTGATCCTAGTGGACCGCTCGTGCCATGGACTGTGTGGGTGGTCGTCGACATTCCCCCGGACATGAAAGGTCTGCCTGAAGGATTTTCTGGCAACGATGAGCAGGTTGCCGGTATTCGAGAAGGTAATAACGATCACAAGATCCCCGGATGGCGTGGGCCTCTCATGCCTAGTCACGATCATCGTTTCCAGTTCAAACTCCTTGCTCTCACCGATAAACCCAAACTTGGTCACACGGTAATACGAAAAACTATCCTCACAAAATTTTTATTCATCCGCGAGGAGGTATTCTTTAATTCCAAAAAGAAATAAAAAGAAAAAGAAATAAAATGGGATTATAATATATTTTCGTTCTTTTAGATTGGTTACTTTATGCGCTACATATGTTGTAACATTATAAGAAGTTTGTTTTGAATGTGGTGACTCACTCAGGTGACAAAAGAGAGATTGCTGGATGCGGTTGAAGGGATTGTGAACGGAGAAGCGGTTTTCACATGTTTTGCTTGAATACATGCGAAGTGATCGATCTCTATCTCGTTTGTCTTGTGTTGCGGTTTCTTAGTGACTCAAATGTACACTTTGACGAATAAATATAAACAACCAACATGTCGACTCTTAAGAAGACATAAGGGATATTTGCTCAGCTGGTTAATTAGAGCAGTGAGAAAAAAAAATTATCGTTTAGATAGCCAGGTAAACAAAGTGATATGAAAAATGAAATAAATGCTAAACGACCAAAAGGGCCGTATAAATGGCAAGTCTAGTTGTTGTTGTTGTTGAGCTAGTATTATCAATCAACATTCAACAGTATTTAGGTTTAAATAATGTGATACGTATATTTCCTTTTACTATGCTTTCAAAATGTCATGGTCATATTGCTTACATATGCCTTCTTTGCTTAGACAAGTCTCAAGTCTGTGTGGATTTATGCATCCACCAGTCAAGTTTCATCTTTTTTAATTATAACAAATAGAACAATCATCATGAATCATGTCGTATATACCATCAATAAAATACATACGTGTTGTTTTTTTTTTTTTTTTTTGTAAATTTATACATACGTGTTGTGTACAATAATTAATGAAAGATCAAAGACAAAATCAATACCCAAACCTATTGACACGTCTGTCTCAACCTTTCCTTTACATGATTTCGTCGGCATTGCACATAAAATCATGAGATATCAAATTCTTAGTCAATCATGAATACGGAACGAATATTAAAACCCAACAGAAATGGTTTAATTAATTATTAGTATTAGAAAATTCAGAAGTCTTATCGAAGCTTGGAGATTTTAATACATTGACAATGTCTCTATAGGAAAACTACAGCCCCGAGTCAATTTTTCCTGCAACAACCAATCAAAAAAATTATAAATTTGAAAGCCTTCAGTCAAAAAAAAAAATTATAAATTATTCCATTTTATAAGAAATATCATATTATACATATAAGCACGAAAGTTGACCTAAAACTACCGTAACATAAGAAAAACAAATTACAAGTAGCACTAAAATTTGAAAGCAATATATATATATATATATATATATATATATATATCTTTAGTAGTATTAAAAATAAATATGAGGAAATTGTTACAAGTTACAATTGCGTTATGATCCAATAGTAAGCCTCATCGTCACTCTTTGGAAGTATTATTCAGACCCAACGATAATATAATATTCAACAGAAAGTTATAAAAAATCCATAAAAAGTCTACATTGAGTTGTTTATTTTTCAAAACTAGATAGCCCCCAAAGCAAGAACAAGAAATGAAACTAATACAATAATTACTTTCCTTCTTTTATCTGTCAAAAGTGTTTTTGTTTCTCCGGATTAGTTTTGCGTTTTCATGGACCATCATGATACAGAGAAGAGACGACTGAACCAAAATGGATCATCATCATCATCATCACTTTTCACCACGTTTGCGTTCAGCTTTTTAACTCTGATCGCGGTTACCACGTTGGTTCTAATGTCTAATTTCTCGATGCAACCGCATAGAGATTTCTCGGAGGTGAAGATAGAGATCAAAAGAGTGGTTCCACAACACTTACCTCTAAGCTCTGAGAACGAAAGCAAAATCAAGCAGGAGACACAAGTGGTGATGACTTCTCCCAATCCGAACATCACTACTGTAAACGAGAAGAACCGAGTTATTGATATTTTCAGAGGAGATAACTTGTCTGACAAGTTTCAAAGGAAAGCAAAGGAGTTTGTCGGTGATTCTGGATGTGAAGTCAACTTCGTCATGACATGGATTTCACCAGCAAATTTATTCGGAAAGAGAGAGGTCTTTGCTATCGAAAGTGTCTTCAAGTCTCATCCTCATGGTTGCTTGATGATCCTATCCGCAACCATGGATTCTCCTCAAGGTTACACAATCTTGAAGCCGTTTATTGATCGTGGTTACAAAGTTGTAGCAGTCACGCCGGATCTGCCTTTTCTACTCAAAGGAACCGCGGGAGAAAAGTGGTTAGAAGAAATAAGAAGCGGGAAAAGAGAAGCAGGGAAGATACCATTAGCTCAGAATCTGTCAAATATAATGAGGCTTGCCTACTTGTACAAATACGGAGGTGTTTACTTAGACACCGACATGATCCTTCTCAAAAGCTTCAAAGGGCTTAACAACGTGATTGGAGCTCAGACTCTTGATCCTTCCTACACAAACTGGACGAGGTTGAACAACGCGGTGCTAATATTCGACAAGAACCATCCCCTCTTGCTCAAATTCATTGAAGAATTCGCTCAAACTTTCAATGGCAACGTATGGGGTTACAACGGACCGTACCTTGTTTCTCGAGTGGCTAGAGCAGCGGTGGAAGGATCAAGTGAGGAGTACAACAACTTCACCGTCATGCGACCTTCTGCGTTCTATCCGGTGAACTGGCTAGAGATAGAGAAGTTCTTCAAGGTGCCAAAGACAGAGAAAGAGTCCAAATGGGTCAAGGTCAAGCTTCTTCAGATGCAGGGGAGAAGCTATGGGTTGCATCTTTGGAATAAATTTAGCAGAAAGTTTGAAATCGAACATGGAAGTGCCATGTGGAGATTAGTATCAGATCACTGTATAATCTGTGAAATCGGTTCTGCATCATCATAGTAGTCTATTGTTTGTATTTGATCAGTCACACACTGTTACTAAACTTGCTGTATGCATACTTCAACACTATGATCCAAAGAGGCTTCTTCCATAAAGCCCAGTAACTTGGGTCTATATTGGGCCTTCTCAAAAAAAAAAAAAAAAATCTTCTCGACCACCACCAGGTTTGATTGCATCTCATACATTTGTTATGAAAACTTTTTTCCTGAGAATAAAGAAATTTTCATTTTGTAGATTTTGTCATCAACATTTTGTTATCCATGGATTCAAAATTGACAGATGGGCTGAAGAAATGATTAGGAAATGATAAGCAGTTTGTCAGCATCCAGTTGTTTTTTATTAGTTAGGAAATTAGTTTGTCATAAACCTGAAGATTGGCACGTGACAACACACAACGGCAACCCGCTCCTTAATCACGCGTGATATTAGCCAACTTTCAAATATATATAGCATAGTTAATTCGCTGAAATATACTATATAGCGACGTTTGTTTTATACATATGAATAGGAAAAAGAAAACTGAAGAACATCACATTTTCATACTCACTAACGGGGACTTAGTTTAACGGCGGTGGTGATTACCGGTGACCGGAGTAGGAGGAGGAATGGGCGACTTGCATTGATAACATTTGGCAAAGAGGCCAAAAGTGTCAATTTGTCTGATGAAATTGGTCATGCTAGCCCACCCGCCAAACCCGAACCCGAGAACTAGCACCCAAACCACCACGAATGCGTTTATCACATAAACTCCGCTCCAGCTTGGCAAAAAGAACGGCGGCTTCTCCGCCGCATTCTGCCACGTCATCAACGTAACGAATAAGAAACAAATCAATACATTGAACATATATCCAGGTGTCCTATTAACTAATCTACTATTTTTTTATAATTAACAAACCCTCTTCTTGGTGGGTAGAACCTTTTGAGTTTTATGCAATGCTTGTTTGATCAAAAAAGATTCTACGAGAATAAAAGTTTATTTTGCTATCAAAAGATTACTAGTAGAATGTACTGTATGAATTAAACAATCTATAGTACGTACTGGTCAAGTGGTAACGATTGGTCACATTATATACGATACTGGACCTACCTACCTCACTGATTTTGGACTAGTTAAATGCAAAAGCATAAGCCAGCTCATCCGTATAAGTGACCAAATACCAACGTACTATTTTAGACTCTCTCTCCAATGTTATGTTTGGGGTAATTTATCTTCGGAACTATATGATAAAATAACTCTATTTCATTCATTGGGTTTCGTATGTATCTATCATATATTTATATATGGAGAGAGAGAGGCAGGGGAATATTAATGTGACCAAGAGAGGAATGTAGCTAATACCCGACGGGCAGAGGCGGTGCGGTAGGTGAGCATGTGGGCTAAGGCAGGGATGATGTAGACGGTGAAGCTAACGAGTAGGGCTCCAACCGCGGAGTTTATGGGACCAAAAAACGGGAAAATTATGGCTAGAAACCATATGGGAACCACCACCGGCAGCCTCACGATCGCTCTTAGACATATGCTTTTTGTGTGGTGCATTCCTATCGCTTTTTCCCATACGAAGTATAACGGTGTACACGCAAACCCAAAAGTTATAAACTGTAAATCCAAAAGGAATCTCATGAGAAACAGTTCCACTTATGTTTTAAACTTATAATCAATTTAGTTTTTCAGTTGGTAAACAAAATAACCGATAATTAACATGACATAACCTAAACATTCCTTCCAGTATTAAATTTCATTGCTAGAGAGGATAAGGTCCCTAGTATGCACGGTATGGTATAAAATAATGGCATGAAACTGGACCCAACAAATTAATATACTACAGTGGAATTATTGGGAGACATATTAAGTTAGATAGGAACCTGATGGATGAGCATGAGGATGACGGCGGCGTCACGGAAACGCGTTTTAGGGAGGAGAGAGAAAGCATTTGAGTGGTTGAGAAGCTGGTCGCCGAAAGCCCAGTAGACGGCGGAGGCTGACGGAAGCGTTAACGTGAAAACGTACAGTGTCGCCATCAGGTAGATACTCTTAAACTTCCTTGGTTTCCACATCGCATGCATTATTTCCCTGTAATTTATAAATTTATTTCCATGATTTTAAGTCAGAGCCGTTGGATCTCTGTGTCCAACCGGAGATTGCAGTCCGGTCCGACCGGTGTGGTTATGTTAGGTACCCTCATAGATGTAAATAGCGTGAGGAAACAGAAAAAAAAAGTTAATAAAGGTTGTGGGCAAAATACCTAGTGTGCTAAAAGGTAAAATTCTTTATTTATTGCATAATAATGATTTTGTCTGTTTGTGCAGTTCGGACAGAATCTAAAGTAACAGGCAAAAGCTGCATATATACAAGTAAAAAGAGGAGAGTAAACTAAAAAGAAGAAACACATACACTCTTCTGAATGCCCCTCCTTTTTATTAAAACTATAAGATTCTCTAAGTACTTGCAGCAACACAATTGTTGGATATGCAAAATAGATTTTAACTTAGGTCACTTAATCAGCAATAAAGCTAAGAATACTGTCGCGAATCCATCTACCTGATTTTTTTCTTTTTTCTTTAATGGTTGCATAATATACAATAAACTGAAAAATGGATAAAAAATTACTTACACAGTCACAGCGTGTCCACCAAATGTATAGAGGATGTTGGTGGCTCCGGTAAAGTACAGCACAAGTTTGGTCGGACCAGAATGTGTCACACCCTCAGCCTACAACATCCAATAACAATGTAAAAATCTAGTTTTAATCAAACCACAATTAGTGTTACAAAAATAAAATAAAAATTTAATCCACAATTGTTTGATTTCATATCAAATTAAAAACCTATTTGACATACTTGGCCATGGAGAAATGCGGCGATGGTGAGGTACCAAGCAGTGTAAGTGGTCATGGCAAGGCCGAGGAAAGACCAAATACGGTAATTGTGAAAAGATGGTATGAAGACGGTCGTGGCACAACAAGCACCAAATATATAAGTCCAAGTCCTCTTGTCTAATCTATCATTTATGTAGTATATATTGCTGCACCACACCAAGACATGGAAAAACACCTGTGAATTAGTATAATAAAGAGACTGGGAAAGAAAATACAAAGTGGTAAAAGGACTCAAAGAACCTAGCACAAGCGATGAGCTGGATGACTGATCCGAATAACAAGAAGGTGCAATTAAATGCGAGCCCCGCTGCTTTCCAGTACGGACCCAACAGCCCATCAAGGACTTCAAACCACTTCCATTTACATATTTATGTACACACACACCAATAAAACATCAGTTAAGTTTAGTATATAGGAATTCTAAAATCTTAATCAAAATTAGTATTACCTGAATAACGTGGTTTTTGAATGATTTGGCTTCTTGTTTCTCCATTCGAGCTCGATACTCGACGTAAAGAACACTGATGAGGTAAGCTGTCCAAGATCCCATTAGTCCATAGAATATTTGAAGCAATATTCCTGATAACATCCCCAGCTGCGAGAACGAATACGGCAGTGTCAATAGCACTTGTGCCACCTGCAGCAATCATATTTTTTATAATAATATCTTTTTTTATATAGCATTCGATTCTCACGAATTATAACGTAGAAAAACAATATGCGCCTGTATTTACTTTCAGAGGAGACCAGAGACAACAAATTTATAAGAAAGTGGAAATCTGATTATTCAGTAAACTATATATTAGTGTATTTATCTTATCATAGTTAACAGTGAAAGAGAATCGTTCTTCATACTATACGTTCGTAGTAAGATTATGGTGATTCCCCCCCCCCCCTCACAAACGTTATTCATTTAAAGAATGTCTTCCTTTTTAAAAGAAAACCCTTAAAAACAGCAAAAAGAAAGATTAGTAAAAAAACTTTGTTTTGTATTTGCTTTTGTAAAAAATATTAAAATAATTTTCCAAAGTATATATGTATTATTACTTTTTTTTTATATATATATATGTATTATTACTTGATTGGAAGCACAGCTGAACCAGGCGTCCCAAGCGGACCCGCCATGCCAGAGAAAACTCTTCATGCTAAATCCATCACCGGCGTCGTCGCGGTTAATATCCTCTGCAGTTGAATCTTCCACTTTTCCACCGGCTCCGCCATCCCCCGCTTCGCTGACGCCTGAGACCACTATCGCCTCCTCCGCTTGCTTTTCACCCGACATTTATCGTCCGAAATCTGTAGGGTTATAACAAAGCAAACTATTACTCAGAAAACCAACAAAAAAAAAACAGAAAGTTATAATCTATGATAATTTCTTGGTTCGAAAATATATAAATATTTTTCCTTTATGCCTATAAGAAGAAACATAAGGACTGTTTAATACCTCTGTCTCAATTTCAGATTTTGAAAGCAAATTAAGCAGAGTGTGTTAAAACGAGCAAGGGAGAGAATGAAGAGCTCTCTATTTCTGTAACAATGGTATGTGAGTTATTTATTTATGATAAAAATAAAGAGAACGATAGTGAGTGAGTAGGAGGAGAACAGTGTAATAACGAAGCCCACTTAAAAATTAAAATGTTGTCTTAATGCGACCGCCTTCGTTTTAAAGTATGCTCAGAGATGAGAGAGAGAGAGAGAGAGAGAGAATAAAAGCAGGGGAAGCTTTTTCTTCTCTTTTTACCTGCTACTTTTCTATGATTCCACCATGTGGACTGTATTTGAATTAAATACATTCTCCGTTTTTATTGTGTAATCTCACTCTCTCTCTAGTCTCTACATCGTTTGAAGATAAATTTGTTAAAACGTCTATGCTTTTTTCTGTTTGTGAATATGCGGAAGTACTATGAAGACAATGCTTTTTGTTTTATTAAATCGATCTGGCATGTGTAAATCGTACTTACGAGGAAAAGCCATTGTATCTAAGTTAAATGAAGCGTTTAAATTTTTTATATATATGAGTTTGCCATATTTTTTGTCATCTGGTTTTCCATTTTATTTTGTAATAGGATGACTCGCAAATATATATAAATAAATTTTGGTAACCATTTTTATAAAATATTAGTTTTACTACTAAAAATATAAATTAAAATTCTTATCATTAACATAAATAGTTATTAATAGTTTCATATCATCGCTAATATTCTGGTTAGTTAATTGTATACTTAAAAAAACATAAATCTAAATGATTTATTCTATTTAAATACATAGTCTAGTATTTTCCACAGCACATCTTATTTTCTCTAGTAATTCTCAACATATTTGTTCTTGGGATGTTCTTTCGGTAACATCCCATATTATATATTTTTATATAATTTTTTTCTTTCTTATTTCCTTAAAGGAAAAAAAAACAGTAAAAATTGAGAAAAAGAGGAAAGTGAGAGTGGCAGTGTTATATAGTGTCAGCTTGAGTCGAGCCATTCAATGTAGGGATGGAACTACACGCGTTTAAAGCGAAAGCCCACGCGCGCCATCAAGCCCTTGAACCCCATCTGCCCGTTCACGTTCTTCTACGCGTGCCTCCTTTTGTTCTCTCTGAATCAAAATCATCTTTCCAAACCATTTCGTCAGATCGGTTAGGAGTTTTACAGACACTCCCATGTCATCATTGTTACGATCTTCTGTCATGTAGTATCATTCTATGAACCATAATTACACGAAGAGAATGAAAAATTCTTTGTTTTTTTTTTCTGCTTTTAGAAGTGCGTTTTGGCAATACAGAAGAAGAAGAAGTATTGCCAAAGACTTTGATATCTTTCGGTCTTTTCAAGAAAGTGCATCGAGACTTATAGAATCATTTTTTCCTCCAGCTGTACCTCCCCTCTGAATCTGATTTGATTCTTCGACTCAACTCAACCCACCAGATACTCGACATACCAATATTAGTGTCTATCAATATCATAAAACTGTTTGAACAAAAAAAATCAATATCTTAACACCGTATTGAATGAAAGAAAAACTCGTTAGCCACCGTTTCCAAATATATTACTTGTAAGATATTCTTGATGCTGTCACAACTACCATAACTTGTATATATCGGACATGGTTATATTTTGATCTCGCTTATTTCTATTATAATGTTTTCATATATATAAGATATAAAATTCACGTATTTTCATAATTTATGGATGATTTCTCTTTTTTTTTTGTTAACAAAAATGAGAAGGAACATATCGTAGAATAAATTGACATAAAAAGTGGGTGGGAGACAAGACAAACGTATTAGGGATATAGTTGTGTGAAGTGAGACCATTACATTAGATCAACCGACCATTCTTATTGTTGGCATATCAATTCGTTAAAAGGATCTCTTTCTTCATTATTACTTCCAACGAGTCTTTATAATACTAATGGTTAACCAATATTTTAAAACCGTATATAATTAAGTTTTGAGATCATGTATCTAATTATCGTTTGAATACGCCGAGTTCCCCATGTTGTCATTAGTACAGATCATCATAAGCTAATATGTTTGAAGTATTCTGTTAATGAAAGGTTTGATAAAAAAAAAGAACATCTCTATTGTATAATTCTATATTTTCTCTAAGATAAAAAAATGGAATAAAATTATTCTAATCCTATTCCCTATTTTATTCTATTACGGAATGAAAACTAAATTAAATTCGAGTGTTTTTTACTTCATAATCTTTTTTACTTCATTTTAGTATGGAAAATATAGTTGGAATAAATATATACTTAAATTAAGAGTTGTTCTCACATCTTCTCCATTTGAATATATGCAATATTTTTTATACATGTAGAATTTAGTCGAAAAAAGGTTTAAATACTTTTCTTTATACTATTTTAATTCAGAAAGATATTTTGTTGTTTACACCTTAACGACAGTAACAAACAAGTGACATCCAGAAAAGAAACGAAATCAATCGATGGATGTGATTTTCCTAAGTGGATTGGAACCCAATGCTCTTGGGATGTGTTAGGAAATCACTGCTAGTTGAGTTGGTTTTTGAAATGAAATATGATTTCCAAATCAGATGAGTTGATTACAATTATGGAAGTCAAAAGTTCTAAAAAACTTGAAGTTGGATTTAAAAAAAAAAGATGGAGCTTAAAAGTCAGAATATTCATGGGCCGACCATTTGAATTTACACACGGACATGTTTTACTTGTACTACATATTTGTCTGTGAATTCCAATAATAATACATGGGCTCAGGCCTAGTGACCATTCTTCTGTAGGTCTGTTTCGTATTTTTTTGGACATCGGTAGCAACGCAGATGGTTGTTTGTGATGGTGCTCCAGATGGTAAATCCGTTTTTTTAGACAGTCCATTTTGTTTTACCACAAAATAACCTGTCTTCCGACATTTTGGTTTGTAGTTACCGGTTTGCATGACATGGATGAATTTGGCCAGTCCCAGCTCATACTTGCGGTAAGTTGCTTTGTTTCTGTTTACAAGAATCGGTGCATGAATAATTTTCATGGTAATATGAAAAACAACTGTAAATTTGCATACCAAAAAGGTGGGAAATTCATTGCGAAGATATTCCGTGGTAAAGATACAAGTCTCTTGTATTGTCAGGTAAGTTTTAGGTATTGTTCCTCTTAATGAATACTTTTACTGATGTATACATTTTACTTGCTCTTTTATATATGTGTAGCTCAAGTTGTTTTTCCCAACTGTCACCTATGCAAAACCTAAAAGCAGCCGCAATTCTAGTATAGGTAAAAAAAAAGAAAGAGTATTAACTTTCATGTTTGCTTACACTCAAAAGTTTAATCATCAAAGATGTAAATTTTTGATTGCATTTCTGCATTTTTTTTTTTGATAGAGGCTTTTGCAGTCTGCGAAAATGACTCTCCACCAGAAGGATTTAACCCGAGAGATTTGTATCGTCTCTTGGAGAAAGTTGGCAGCCCTTCAGGTGGTGGAAGCCACCTCGGTAAACAAAATCTCTTTTTCACTTCATCTTCTCATCAAGTTAGACACAACTAACATTGTGTGTATTGTTGAGTAATACCCTTTCAATTTTCAACCAAACTCTCACCTAAATATGCTCTCTTCATGTTAAATTTAACCTTTTGGGGGAAGACAACAAAGTGTATTCCATTCTTGGCATGTGGTGACTTAACCGGTTATGACTCAGACCGATCTTACCCACTCCCAAAAGAAGCAGATGGATCGTCATACCAGAGTTTGGATCCGGTTCAGTCTCCGATTGCACCACCTTATAAACGAGCTCAAGAAAGCTTCAGCACAAAGCATCCAAGACACATGAGGTATTAATATACACAATGAAAAAGCTTTTCATTGGATTCTATAAAGAAAGGAAGGCTGTAGTAAGTAATGTCCCTACGGCTACAGTTTCTGAAACCCTTAATATTTTGTTATGATAAGTTTATATAGGAACAAAAGTTGATATACTTTACTATCGAACTAGGGTAAGACCTGCGCCTTGCGCAGGGTAAATATATGTAATTAAAATATAAAATTTTAATATTCACAAATTTAAAATTTACATATGATTGTTTTTGTATGTATTTGAAATTTTAGAATTTTGGAATTTTTATATAATTATCTATACGTATGATCAAAAACAACTTTAATTAGAAATGTAAATCAAATCTTAGAATTTAATGGATCTGATTTCATATATCTTTTTACTT